ATTTATTGGTCCACAGAGGGCCAATTATCATCCAAAAATGGCATCTAGATTCCACACAATCAGCACCAAGATCAAACAAGAGATAAATAATGGTACAACATTGCTAAGCAGACAGGAAAACAGCACAACCTTTCTCCTCACATTGCGTCTCGTGCCGCAATCCTACATGTTATCGCATCCGATAATGAAGATATCCCTAGCTCAACTGCAGATATCTTGTAGTGCTGTTGGGTGCAAAAGAAAACGTCGATTACTAATGTAAACCGCAAAGGATGCAACAAAGTACAAACATAATAAATGGATATAATTTCAGGAACAAACAATAAAATTGGCCTTAATCATAGAGAAAAATAGATAATTATCCTAAACACAGACACAATCTCCAATACATAAAAATTGAACCCTAAGTTCTTATTCAACGATAAACATGTCCTTGAGAATACTATGAAATTGTGAAAGATATGGCTGCCTGCTGGGGCTTTTCCTATAATTATATACAACGCTAAAGTTCTTTTTGTACTTAACCCTTCAATAAAGATTGGTTTTATAATCAACAAACCTTTTGTATCTGGGTTTGATCCGCTCGCCCTTTCAATTCCTCCAAACCAATTTCAGTTCCCTTGACAAGTCCTTTCACGACCGTCATCTGGAAATAAGAAATAAAATTGTTAGCCCTTTTTTCTATGCAACAAGCAAAAGAAAAGGATCCAAAATCAATAAAAGACAAGCAACAAGTACATGGTACACGATCTCACCTCATCAACTGAAGCACCAAAACGAGCCACGAGAACATAACTTGTGTTGTCAGATATGCCGCATCTTTTTAGCGATTCTGATATCTTGTACAAAAAATAAAAAATAAAAATAAAAAATAAAAACTGAAAGGTGTAATTTCAAGAAATGCCGACAAACACAATAAATTAGAGGCAAAGCATTTCTTACATGTTTAGAACCAGAGTAATTGTAAACGAGCTCAGAATGAAGAGTGCGTGTGGTCAGCGACTCTCGTGATTTAGCCACAAGAGTCTTATGTGCAGCGGCAAGAAGTGGGAATGTATCTGGTATCTATCTCAATACACACAAAACAAATAATATGACACAATAACGTATAATAATAAAAATTACTGTAACTTTTACGACCACCTGTACTTACTAATGAAGCATTGAGAAACGCCGCTTCAGGTTCCAAAGTTCCTGCTTGCATCAAATCCAGAAGCTCTCTGCATAAAACATGATTTAGATGTAACGATACCTTATCAAGAAATAAGTAGTACCACTTTCTTTTACAAAGGAATTCATTACAAGAAACAGGTTGTCAGAGGACAGGACATTATGGGTGACGACGAGAAATATAAAAAGGCATCACACAAAATTTAATTATAGACAAATATTTTATTCCTTTAATTCAAATACTAAAATATAATCTTGCACCCATTAATGATTTATGAAATCAAACACGAATAGTACCACAAAAAAACTAAACAACAGTAAGCTTCCGCATCCACAGAACCCGTTATTTTTACTTTTAATATCTTAAAACAATTTAAGCAAGAAGCCTAATTTGGGAAAGAGAGAAGAAATTGAAAATGTAGATGCAATAAGAAAGTTAGAGAAACAGTAATTGGAGAAAAGACCATACTTGGAGTTGGTGACATCGACAAAGAGAGCAAGAGAAAGAGTGGTACCACCGACCTCGAATGTCTTCATAACTGTTTTCACACAATTAGAAGAAATATAAAAGATAGTTATAGAAATGTGGAGAGATCAGCTATTTAATTCTGGAAACAATATATTATTGTATATAACAAAATTTCCCTTTTCCCAAATACCATGCAATAAAAGATATCCCTCGACAGTATGCGGTAACACACACGTTACAGGGGTTCTTCTCATGAGAGCAGCATAGTATCGTTAATAGACAAAGAAGGAGAAGATATAAGGTAATTTACTTATTAAGTTCTCAGCTCACTTATAAGCTATCAGCTAGATAGCTAGATTTACCTAACATACCCTTAGAACATCCCTAATGCTAGAACTTTGATGGTATATAATTTGAACACATGGGAATTAATGAATGGTGATGTTAGCCTTGACGGGCAAGTGGTGGCCAAGAAGGAGACTTTCCGGTATTTAGGATCGATGCTACAAAAGGATGGCGGCATTGATGAAGATGTTAGGCATAGAATTGCAACCGGTTGGTTAAAATGGCGTCAAGCTTCGGGCGTTCTCTGTGATAAGAGGGTGCCACAAAAGCTAAAAGATAAGTTCTATAGGACGGCGATTCGTCCGGCGATGCTTTACGGTGCTGAATGTTGGCCTACAAAAAGGCAACATGTCCAACAACTAAGTGTAGCAGAGATGCGGATGTTGCGTTGGTTTTGCGGGCACACAAGAAGAGATAGAATCCGAAATGAGGATATTCGTGATAGGGTCGGGGTGGCCCCAATTGAGGAGAAATTGGTTCAACATCGGCTGAGGTGGTTCAGACATGTCCAACGGAGGCCTCCTGATGCACCGGTGCGCAGGGGAGTTCTACAGCGGGTCGATGTTGTTAAGAGAGGTAGAGGTCGGCCTAAACTCACTTGGGAAGAGTCGGTTCAGAGAGACCTTAAGGATTGGAATATCTCCAGGGATTTAGCGGTGGATAGGAGCGCTTGGAGACTAGCGATCAACGTGCCGGAACCGTGACTTTTGCTCCTTTCTCTTTTGCTCCAATCTTTTTTTTTTACTACTGTTTCTATTGGGTTTCATCTCTAGCCTACTCCAACTTGTTTGGGACTAAAAGGCTTTGTTGTTGTTGTTGTTGGAATTAATGAATGGAATGTTAAACCATGTAGGATGAGTATCAAGAGTATAAAACTTTCGTCCAAATAACTGCCTCTAATGCATTCATTCGATATGTAATTTATCGTGTGAAACTTATTTTCTATAATTATAAATAATCCAAAAAGTTATCATACAAAATTGTTCTTAAAACAGTCGCCTCCCATATTAATTGTAGTGCTAAAAAAATGCAAAAAAAAAAAAAAAAAATTCCAGCGGTACTACTGCTATCAAATGGACTGAAAACAAGTATGGTATTTGTATGTTAAGCATAACTTTTGATAGAAAATAGGCATTAAATTAGTTTTTGCTCCTAGAAAGCTACAAGGGACATATCTACAACTTTGTTGAAGACTCGGAACACAAACAAGTATTTTAGAAAAGTGTAACAGGTTGAAAATAATACGCTAAGTTGCTGTGGAACTGGACAAAAACCATCATGCGCAGCTTGTATATTCTAAACATAACTTTTAGCTGAGCCTAGGTATTTGATTGATTCTGAAAAATATTAGAAGAACAAAAACAGAACTAAAATTCTTGTGAAGACTTGAGCCTCTTATGAGCAGGTTAGGAAGATAAAAATGGTTCAAGGGGCAGTAGGTAATGTTTCTGCCAATTTGATATAAAACAGCTACGCAAGGTGTTAGAACTTTCGGCATAACGTTTTGTAGAAAATAGGTATTGAGGCAAGTTTTGTCCCTAAACATCAGGAAGAGACATATCTACAACTTCTGTGAAGATAGTTCAAACAGAAAAGAACTTTAGGTAAATGAAAATAGCTCATAAACATGGATACAACACATGGTATACGGCAGAAAACAGCATGCACATTGATCGTATTTCGAGCATAACTTTTTATATGAAATTGATAATAGAGTAGTTCTTGTGGCTACAGAGAGATAAACGGTTGAACTTCAAGTTACGTGAAGAGTTCAAAACCAGATATGGCTAGGGTTCAAAGGTCAAAACAGCATACAATCATACAGATAGTACGCAGTGATATTTTTTTACAGCAACTCCCCAAAAACACAATTAAGTCCGAAAGATGATTAAATTTCCAAAAGAACACCCACGAGCTTTTATACTTCTCTATTTTCACCCCAAGATTAACAAATCCACACATGGAGGAGCGCACACAAAGCACGACACATACGGTACACAAAAACAGTACACACACCTCACTCAACCGAAATCGAAATTCAGAATAACCGAAAAGTTTCGAAATTCCGATAGCCCAAAGATAGGATACGGGGCTCGCCGGCCTGTGGCCATTCGTGGCCCCGTTCCAATTCCTACTGACTGGTTCACAAAATTGTTTAGATATTTGGAATCTACGTATCAAGACGAACAAATTGATGTATAAATTATAAAGCCTTACCGGCGAGAGAACGCCCGTGCTGTAGTCGGCGAGTCGGCGGTGCGCGGCGTTTAAGAAGGTAGAAAAGAGTGCAGTGTCATCTCATGCGCTCAATAGTTCTTTTTTGGGCCGAATTATTGGTCAATTTTTTTCATTTGTTGGGCCTATAGGTATGGTCTCGTGCCTTTAAAATTGAAGAGAAAATTACCTCATGCACTCTTGATAAGTATCTTATTCTTATAACTATTCTTTGATCCTTTCAAGTCAATTATGCCCAATACCAGTAAATAATAACACTTTTAATAGATAATAAGTGCAAAAATAAGTTAATGTTGTTTTGGTAATAAGATGTAATTGAGTTAATTTATTCTCTCTTCCATGGGAGCAAGAAATTCCTTCGAGTAAAAGTGACAGTGCCTTGTATGCATACCGGATTCATTCTCCAATTAGGAGCTGGAAGCAGGTTATTTTTCACTTTCTTTTTCTCTGTCAATCCGCTCAGTTTTGTTACTCATGAGTCGTGTTCCGTCTATTAGGGTATATTGTAAAATCTCGGTTTTTAGTTTCTGTCAATACCATTTTGATCTGGCAACCATGTTTTAGTCAAGTATTTGTGTTTGCAGTTTGTTTGTTTATGTGAGTATTAGTTCTTTATTTTACATTGTAGATAGTATAGTTCGATGTGTCGAACAGAAAGATCTTATCAATTCATTACAAAATATAAATTATTGATTCACAATCTAGACATAATTGAACAACCTGTTGGTAAAAGGCGATAGTGTAATTTTTGATTCAGTTGATCTTTGACTGATTAATTACACTAGTACTTTGTAAGTATTGAATGAACCGCAGTGGATAAAATTGTTTGAATACTGACCTACTAAATAATCTAGACCTCAGTACTTGATGCGTACTCTTTAGCTGTAAGATACTAAACAAACATGTATAATCATTACTTGTTTATTTGATTTACCTAGGGTGATTCATATTTTATTAGGATGACATACTCGGTATTTTGGTAAATGATGATGTTTATATGATGTGTTGTAAAAAATGATGACTATGTCCCAGTTTGTCGGGTTGATTACATCCCTGAAATGAGCTCAAGTAGGACTATAATTTTAAGCTCTGCAGCGGCTTAAATTCCAACATAATGATTAAGGAATTGAGTGATACTAATTTTGGATCGTATGTGATAAAGAAATTGATTAATTTTATCGTCAGTAATTTAATTAATCAATGACGTTATATATTGAACATAAGGATGATAAATCGATGAATTAAATTAATTATATTAATTAAGTATGAGGTTCGAATTTATTGAATAAATTAGAGCTAAATGGGGAGATCCATAATAATTCTCTAGTAGAATGTTTTATTATTTAAATCAATTAGGAGAATGTATTAATTTATCTTCTAGTATTTTTCTAAGTAGAAGTATATAATTCTTTCTAGAGTACTATCATGGTTGGAAGACTTGGAAGTCTTCTAGAAGGGTAATTGAGTTGGAAAGAATTAGGTCTTCTAGGAGAGAAAGGAGTTGGAGCATATTAGGTTTCCTGACCCTAACTGGAAAAAGGGATATTATCTTTCTGACACGGAATACCTTTGTTTATGGAGATGTCTCTCACGACAGCTCAAGAGATAGAGGACATGAAGACAATTCCTTATGCATAGACAGTAGGAAGTCTCTTTATGCAATGTTGTGCACGAGGCAAGGCATTAGCTACGCTGTTGGCATGGTAGCTAGATATTAAATTAATCCGGGTCCGGGGCATTTGTCAAGGATGAAACATATACCCAAGTACCTTAGAATGACTAAGGAGTATGTGTTAGTTTACTGTGCAAACAACTTGTTCAGCTGGATTACACCGATTATGACTTCCAGACAGACCAGTATGAGAGTAAGTCAACCTTAGATTATGTGTTTACCTTCAGCGTTGGAGCCATTTTATGGAGTAGTTCTAAGAAGAAATGCGTGGCAGACTCCACCATGGAAGCCGAGTATGTCGCAACCTCCGAAGCAGCGAAGGAGGCAGTTTAGCTCTGAAACATCTTGGTATACTTAGGAGATTCTGAGTATGCCACAGATAGTGTGGCCACGGACCGTTCGCCCTGACTCGACCAAGTCAAACCCGTTGACCACGGGACCAAGACTGGACCGGATTTACAATGGGCCATTTTAGGGTCATTATTTCATGACCCTTGACCCGACACAGACCCAGCTCAGTTCGGTTAATTGGGTCATAGACCAGACACGAGCATAGGTCCATGTCGGTTCAGGGTCCATGAAACCCAACTTGGAGGCCTAGCGGGCCAGGCCGGGTCGTGACCCAGCCCGAGTTTTTGTCATGTCTAGCCACAGGGTATCACAGTTTACTGTGATAACAGTGGTGCAGTAGCAAACTCAAGGAAACCACCCGCCCACAAGACAATTAAACACATAGGGCGCAAGTACCATCTAATACGATAAATAGTAGTAAGAGGAGACATCGAGGTTGCCAAAATTGCATCAGAGGACAACCTA